AGGTGGGTCTTGGCGCTCACGCCGCTTCTCCCTCCCGCGCGACACTGGACGGCGGGCCCCACTACTGGCCCTGCACCGCCGGGGAGGGCGTTCTGGGCTTAGGGGAGCTGCCCAGGTCTGGAGACCCCTAAAGTCGTCTCCTTTGACCAGGAGGAAGTCACCGAGTTCGGAGAGGGGCCTCCAACAGGGATTACGTCTAGGAGACAGTCGTCCCGCTCTCCTCTTTAGGAGGAAGGATCTAGAATGGAGCTCAAGGATATAAGAGCCCTGAATGGGCAGGGCCGGGTTTCTGCCACTCGGCCCAGGGGAGAAGCTGGCCAGAAGCTGGGACTTCGGCTCCCAACTGTTAGGTGGCAGAGGAGGCTCTTGCGCCCACCTACGCAGGTCAGCCCCAGCCTGAGGGCTGGAGGGTGAGTCTTGTGGACTGAGAAGGACTCTGACTAAAGCTGAGGGAGAGAGTTAGACAGAGGGACTTGGAACCCTGCTGGGCCTCTCTCTCGCCCGGAATTGTGCTGGGCCAGCAGCTTCCAGGCCGGTTTCTATAGACAGGGCAAGTGTCTACTATCCACCTACGCACACCCGCAGCCCAGTGCACCTCACCCACCCTTGGTATCAGCTGAGAATAACCCTGCCTCCTATTGGGACTGGAGAGTCGGCAGTTTTCATCCTTCATCTCTTTACTCTTGTGTAATCCCAGAAGCTACAGGGGTTCCTAAACTGAGCAACAGGTGCCTGGCTGGCGCGGGATCTCCACCAGAAGCCAAGCTTGGGCTCGCAGCCAACCACCAAATGCCAAGGACTACCCAGGAGCACCTGTCCCAAGCGCTGGCCAGCCCCACCCAGAGCCCGCAGACTGGGATCCCCAGCCTTACGCCCCACACCTGAGGCTTCTCCCTTCACCTCTCCTTCCCAGGTGCTGTCACTAGTCCCAGCCCAGTAAAAAGCTGCGGGGGCTGGATGGCCATGGGGGAGCCTGGTAGAGAGGAATATAAAATCCAGTCTTTTGACGCAGAAACCCAGCAACTGCTGAAGACAGCACTCAAAGGTGAGCACGGGGAGCCCTCCTGAGCCTGGGTCCAGAGGTGCAGGACATGGGGCCCAGGACCAGAGGACTGAGCCTTAGCCTGGGAACGCCCAGACCTCTCTTTCCTTCAATTTCTGAGACTGGGAATCAGCAACATACCTCTCAAAATGGAAGACAAGCTACATTTAGGCCAGTATTTGGGAATGTGAATCAGAGTCATCTCTCAGATTGCAAAGCCTTTTTGTAAAGTACCCGTGAAGGGGGTGGGACACAGAACATAGTTCCCGCCCCTTAAGTCTTTACATTGGACTTGATTCCGGCTGTTGCTGCAACCGGCCCTCTTGAATATGCAGAGCCACCTGACTTGGGACAGAGGATTGAGTGTTTTGTTTGGCAGAGGAGGTAAATTGTCCTGGACCAAAGCCTTCCCTCCAGCACGCAGAAGTTTGACTCAGCTAACAATTAGCACTGCCCATCACATGCCAAACTAAGCCCGTGGGAGCGCCCAGCCTGGCCTACTCACGTCAGGGGTTCACGTGTGTGTATTATGAGAATACTTTCTTCCATGAAATTGCTGTCACATTGTTATTCAGCGCTCCTTCCTCAACCTAGTGCCAGGAGATGTGTGTCTTGAAAAACTAGCATTCTTCAGTTAGTCTCTAACAGCCCCATAACCCTCGCCGGGCCACTGGGAGGCTCGCTGGAGCTGCTCCCGTATGGTTATTTCTCTGTATGTTTCCAGGTCTCTAAACGTAAGCAGATAATGGACGTGCTTTTTTGTAAACATCTCCAGTCCTTAGGAGCTGGTGGAGGCAAATGTGATAATTAAGCAGCTCGAGACCACCCCCGATCTTTGCCCCAGATCCAGGTGCCGTGGACTTGGAGAAAGTGGCCAATGTGATTGTGGACCATTCTCTGCAGGACTGTGTGTTCAGCAAGGAAGCAGGACGCATGTGCTACGCCATTATTCAGGTTGGGTAGGGTTGGTAGAGAAGAGGGGACACACTTAAGAAGGTGCTTCAGGCCTGGGCAGAGGCCTGGCCAGCAGGGCAGAAATGCAAAGGCCTCCCCTCAGGCAGAGAGAGTGACACAAAAGCGTCCTCAGCCACAGAAGCTTGGGCGGGGTTTATGACAGCACCGTCCCTGCCACTAACCATCCTTTCCCTGGCTCACAGGCAGAGAGCAAGCATGCGGGCCAGAGTGTCTTCCGGCGTGGACTCCTCAACCGGCTGCAACAGGAGTACCAGGCTCGGGAGCAGCTTCGAGCCCGCTCCCTGCAGGGCTGGGTCTGCTATGTCACCTTTATCTGCAACGTCTTTGACTACTTGAGGGTGAGGCCCGTGCAGCCACCCCGTGCGGCAGGAATGGCCTATCTCTTGAGGCCACTACTAAGCCAGTGCTCTGGCCCATTCTCCCCCACAGGTGAGCAACATGCCTATGATGGCTCTGGTGAACCCCGTCTACGACTGCCTCTTCCGGCTGGCCCAGCCCGACAGTCTGAACAAGGAGGAGGAGGTGGGTGACTCTGGCACAGAAGGCTGTGGGGGTGGGCTGCCTTTAGCTCAGCAAAGAATGCTAGCCCAGTGTCCCTGGAGGCTTTTGAGGGCATCACTTCCTGAGGCAGGAGCCTGGTGGGGGCAGTTAAGGCCTGTCACAGTTACAAGACAAGCTGCTAGGTCTGGAATTTATCCAGAACAGAAGACAGCCAAGACCTACTGGCTCAGAGGCCTCCCTCCCAGCAGGAAGGCCAACCTGCAGTAGGAATGCTGAGAGCCTTGGCTAGCTGTGCATACAGATGGCCAGAAACCAAACCAGGGTCAGAAGGTGTGGGGCGGGGGGGAGGAAAGGGGTTAAGCAGCAGTTTGGAAACAAGGTCTAAGGAGACCTTAGATGAGTCCCTAAACTCGTTTCCTTTCATATGAGATGTGGGTAACACCCACTGGGTGGTGCGAGGATGAAGTGGGAAAACGTGCCCAGGGCCAAGCACGGTGCCTGGCACAGAGCAAGAGCTCAGTTAATGGCAGCTCTATGTGATAGGCTGGCGGGGCGGGGGGGTCACCGCCCACTGTCCCCTGCAGGTGGACTGCCTGGTGCTGCAGCTGCACCGGGTTGGGGAGCAGCTGGAGAAGATGAACAGGCAGCGCATGGATGAGCTCTTTGTCCTGATCCGGGATGGCTTCCTGCTCCCAGCCGGCCTCAGCTCCCTGGCCCAGCTGCTGCTGCTGGAGATCATTGAGTTCCGGGCAGCCGGCTGGAGGACGACCCCGGCTGCCCACAACTATTACTACAGCGAGCTCTCCGACTAGGCCTCCCGATCAGGCTTCCTTGCCAGCAGCGCCCGCCGCCGTCCTACCCACCTCCCGCCCTTGCAGCGCAGTCTTTGCCTCTCCCAAACACCTCTTCCCTTCCAGGCTTTCAGCAGCTCCCGAGATGTTTTCCACTTACGCGGTGGTGCTGCCCTGAGCACCTTCCCTCCTCCTCCAGGGGTCTGGGAAGACATCACATAGACCTGCCCGCCCCCGTCCCATCAGCCTCTCTGCCCCGGGCCAGAGAAGGGCAACTCCTAACAACCACTACACTGTGTAACCACTGGTACAGTAGCTATCTTGGTGCCTCAGTTTCCCCATCTGTAAAACGGGTACCCTTAACCACTCGTACGACGGAAGTGTCAGGGGGCAGAAGCTCAGAGCCCAAGTCACACCAGAAACTGCTTTTTATACATTTTGTACAGACCACTTTGGAAAAGAGTATATTTCTTCCAGTTGGTTTTAACGAAGGGCAGTACTGCATCACAGGCTACACCAGTTCAAGGTGAGAGTTTTCTAATAAACCTTTCTGACACTAAAACTGCTTCCTTTTGTATCACTCAAATGTCCATCCCAAGCAGAAGGAAGAGAAGGCCGGATGAGCCCTAAGTTTCGTGGGGGAAATCCAAGTCGATGTGTTCCCACTTTGCAAGGAGATAGGGCACGGAGAGCGAGTTCTGGCCCAGAAAGAACGGACTAACAAGCAATAAACACAGTGCTCCAGTGAGACCTGCCTGCCCTTAAAAAGGAACTACATCCTCAATCCACAGATATTTTTCAATGCAGCAGAGTCCCGGGCTCCTCCTGGAGCCTCTACCCTCCATCTACCACCAGCGGTAGTGGGCCAGGGCACGGTTGGCCTCAGCCATCTTGTGCATGTCGTGCTTCTTCTTGATCACAGGGCCCTGGTTGTGAAAAGCCTGCAGCAGCTCATGCGACAGCTTCTCTGGCATCAGCATCCGCCTGTGCTTCTTCTCCCTGCACTCAGTGATCATCCACTTCATGGCCAGGAAGCGGCGACGCCGGTCAGCTAGTGGCACAGGGACCTGGGCAAGACAGGATATGGGCAAGTCGGTTCGAGTATGTGCCAGGGCTGCAGCCTCCATCATGAGCTCTAAAGAGTCGCCACAGGATGCCTCTGAGCCAGCCCTAGCAAGGCTCCTGAGGAGAGGGACCTGTCTTTTCCTCTTCAAGCTTCCCTCACCCTTGGGTGACCTCAGTGTGGCACACATAAGAGGCATTTGTTGAGCTAATGCTCATTAAGCACTGATTTCTTTCACCTATAAATGAAGACTCAGACAAGTTGATATAAGAACCAACTGGGTAAAGTCCCATCAACTGGGGTGACTTAGCTAACTCCGATGATGGGTGCCAAAAAAACAAGACCCTCTTGCCTAAGAATAATTTGCCAGGCACCCAGTATGTGCCAGGTATCATGCCAGATCCTAGGAACATGGACACCCACTTATGATAATGAACTGTAATTAAATACTATAATAGAGTGATCTAGTTCAGTTCAAATTGTGACGAGGCATCAGGTACAGGTCAAGCGCTACGCCAGACACTGGCGTATAAAGATGAGGTACAAACATAGTCCTTCACCACAAGAAGTTTATAGATTAGAACAAAAGATGCTGGATAGAAGTGGGAGCAGGGGGTCCAGAAGAGGTCACTTGGGTACTTTTTTGCTCCCTTTTCCATTTTCTGCCTGTGATTTTCACACTACAGGACTCAGATGATCAGATCCTGACAGTCCCTGGTCCCTAGAAAACTATCAATCTTGGCCCAACTCTGGGCCCTTCCACCCCAAGAACCCCTCCCCCCATCTCATCACATATGTGGGCAGCCAGCCCTCCTTTCTCTGCCCCGACCACTCACCTGGTAGAAATGGCCACCCTTGAGGATGGGTACCAGCCCAATTACAGGCTCACAGTTTTTCAGTGCTTGGTGGAAGATGGTGTAGGGGTTGCGTTCAATGGTTTCCCGTTCCTCTGCAGAAGCAGCATGGTACTTCTCAAACTGCTTCCTTTTCATGGCTTCCAGAGTCTGCAAAGGGATCAGTGGAAGAGGTTGCCCCAGGCTTCCTAAAGGGTTTACTAGCTGAGCTAGTATCTTGTCCTTGACTCCCATTATCCTTCTTCTAAAGCAGGGCAGCTCCTCCCTCAGCACTTCAAAGACAAAGTTCTTAAGTGCCTCTCTCTTTCCTGGACTAGGACAGAAGGAGTGGGCTAAGATTTCTGATTGGAGGTGGTGGCATGGCAGTCGTTGACTCCTGCAGCACTTCATTAAAGCCCCCACCCCAGTACATCCATACAGGGAAGTTAATTTTAATGGCAAGTATGTGAATCCATTCTTTTCTATGCTAAACTGAAAGAACCAAATACAAAGTTAGAGGAAAGAGATGACAGGAGAAAGGTGCTATTTACCTGTGTCATGAGGGATCTGGCCAGTACCTTGTTTCCTCCTTTCATCATCATGTTGGTGAATTTACTTCAAGGAGAAAAGCAACATGTTTAGCTTCCCAAGGCTGTATCACAGAATCCTTACTGTAGATCCTCCCTGGTATTGTCCCCGTGGAACACAAGTGTTTCCATCTAACCTGATCAGTGGGTCTTCAAACACCGAGCTTGTTTTCATTGCTGGGGCAGCTTTAATAAGCTGAGTCTTCCTGAGCTCCCGATCAAACTTCTCCTCCTCAGTCAGCTCGGCCAAGGGCTTGCGGTAATATTCCTTGTCAATCTGGGGATCCCTGTATTCAGGACCATAGCGGCTCCACCTCACCTGGGTTAACCTGGGCGAGGGGGCGGTGAGGTGGGGTGAGGGGAGGCAGGCAAAAGCTGACACCACAAGTGAAAAGCCTTGACTTAACAATCGGCATGTTTGCCAAGCCGCCAAGGAGAGCGGCGCACAGACCGCTAGCCAAACCTTAGCCACAATAATTCTGACTCTTGTCCCAACAGGTAGGAGGACCTCTCCTAACAGGCCAGAAAAGTCTCCTCCTCGTCAAGTGCCAAAGGTAAGGACAGGCTCTTGAACTTCAGGAAAGCACACCGCTTATGCATCTCTCTTCCCGCTTCCCAACACAGAAAACCCAGCTCTGAGCTCTTTAGCCAGACCACACTTTCAGCTCCCAGTTAGAACCCCCTCAGGCAGGGGGCAATCACTGAGCCTTCAGACTGGCCTAAAGTCACGCAGCTACTGAAGACCCTTGGACCCAGAAACCTCGGCCCGCAGGCTCTCTCCAGGTCCCCGCGCGGCCTGCCTGTGGTCCCTTTCCTTCCCCGCAGGTCTCCCCGTGAAAACCCAAGCGGACCCTCAGCTGCCCTCTCACCCTGGAAGCCGCCGGAGAGCACTCTGCAGGCCCAGCGCTAGGCCCGGCCACCCTCGCACAGATTTCACCGCGGGGGCAGCCATCTTGGCTCGCCACGAGGACCCCACAAGGACTGCCCACGGCGTGCCTGAGCAAGTGACGGAAGACGGGAAAAAGGCTCGACAGGGTGCTAAACCTGCGCATCACCCCATTAATCTGGGCGTTAAGAGTTTCTCACTCCGATGTCCGAAAGGAGGAGTCAAGAAGAAACAGTTCCCCTCTTGTTAACCATCGCAGCCTGGCGCGACCCTCGGTAGCAGCACTCGCTCGCCTCAGGCCCCCATGCAGACCCCGCCCCGGCCCCTCTCTAGCAGGGTGTCGCGAGGTTTGAGGCCGCGGGGCCGGCCCGGGAGGCTGCAATATGGCGGAGGCGGAAGGGGAGAGTCTGGAGTCCTGGCTGAGTGAGTATCGCGGCCGCTTCTGCCTGCCCTCGAGCCCCCGAGCTGCCCCTCTCCGCACCCCTACGCCCCCTCCTGGGGCCCCGCCCGCCTGGCAGCCTGAGGCTGGGCTCGCCAGCGCCGCGAGCATTCCGCGATCACGCCCCTTCCCCGGCAGGGCGCCTGGCTCCCGCCCGGCACCTGCTCCCAGTGCTGCGGCGCCTCCTTCCTCTCCCACGCGCGTCGGCGTGAGCTCGGGTCCTGTGCGGGTCTCGCGGGCTCCGGGAAAGTGACAGCCAAGTGATTCCGGCTGACATGCATCGGCGCTCTGGGGAGATTGTTGTGGGATCGCGGGCGGCTGTGACTCCGGGGTCCCTTCGGCTCAGCCTCTGACGAAGGGAAGAGCTCTGGATTTGGGCTGAAACTGCGGGAGCGGTGGGTGCCGCTGATCATACACAGCTTCAGAATTGTGATCATGTATTCGAGGAGAAGTGATCGCTTCGCCCAGGCAGAATAGTTGAAGTGAGAATAATCCAGAGATAGAACAGAGCTGTACCTTTTTCCTGCAGTAACCAAAGCCGGGTGAAATCTGTACTGCCGCGAACATCTTAAAGATTCATTTGTTGACAACCCATTCTGAACGAAGCTAAGGACCCCGGCCTGATCCTGTGGTTATGGCGGCCTATTGCTATAATTGCTAGTTCATGTTGCTATTAAGGAAATACGGGTTAACCCTTTTAGCTGGTAGCACTCTGCTGAAGGATTAATAAATTAACTTTCCTATGGACTAGAGGAGACCCCTGGAGGCCTCTAACTGAGGACAGAGTTGGACAAGCTGAGGAGGCAGGTAGGATGTCTAGATATTATTACCTTTTGCAGAAATCTCTTATTTACTAGAGCCTCCAGATTCTTGGAGGTGATGGCTGTTTCCTCCAATTAATTGCCCTTCGGGTGGTTGAACTTAGGTTACATTTGCAAAATCTTCAGTTGCAGGCAGGTCACAAAGTTTTCTGTATAATGGAACTGCCCTCCAAGGAGCTCGAAGTGCTCCAAAGATATTCATTTAATTTATTTATCACATATTCTAGTGAAGCCGAGATTGCTGTCACAATTTCACAAAAAGGACACCCTGACCCTGATCAAACCACTTGCCCAGGGCCACCCAACTGGATATAGCCACTCTGGAATTGGTTTGATTCACAGATACTAATGGGGACATTGGAGTAATTTAAGTGACCTTGGCTGACTTTCATAGGCCAGATTTAGAGTTGTATATATTTTGAAATAAGAGAGAGACAGATTTGTTTTTGAGGAAGAGTGGAGCCGATGCGGGGGGAATGCGATGGTGTCTGTCAAAACTACAGGTGGTCCCTTACTTACCAGGGTTAGACACAATTTTTTGACTTTATGATGGTGTGAAAGTGATAAGCATTCAGTAGAAACTGTACTTCAGATTTTGAATTTTGATCTTTTCGCTGGCCAGTGGTACGTGGTGGGATACCCGTATGATGCTGGGCAGCACCAGCAAGCTGCAGCTACCAGTCAGCCCCATGATCTTGAGGGTAAACAACTGATACTCTACAGTGTACTGTGTTGCCAGTGTTTTTTTGGATATTGTGTTCTGAGCACTTTGAAGGTAGGCTAGACTAAGCTATGATGTTCGGTAGGTTAGGTGTATTAAATGCACGTTTGAGTTACGATATTTTCAACTTATGATAGGTTTATCTGGGAGCATCTGTAGAGCTAAGACTGGCCTTTGACCTTTTCCCATTAGAGTGACATTTGGGGCCATGTTAAGATGCCTTCCATTCTTATTTTCTGTTCACCTTCACGGTTCTTATCACTTAATGATGTGAACTGTACCAAGTGAATGAACCAGTGCTTGGGCGAGGAGGTTTCGAATGGTGGCACCATTTACAGAAATAGGGAAGTCAGGAAGGAGAAGTGATGAGTTTGTTTTTAGACTGATTTGTGTATCAAAGTAGCACTGATAATTGCACACTGTCTTGTTTTTGGTTCTGGTTTTGTCGCATGTGTTTCAGCAGAAGAGCACAACCTCCTAGAGGGGATGATCCAAGTCTTGTCCAGGGCCTGCCATGCTACTTACATAATTTTCCATGGGTGCTTAACAAAGACTTGGTGATGGACTCAGTCTCTGTTGATTCAAGACCCCAGCAATGAAGATCGACTCTCTGCTCCCTTTCCATCCCTTGTTTTTGCCTCTCCTTATTTCTACGTCATTTGCTACGTAGAACTTGTCTCTGGAATGTCTGAGCCATGTTGGGAGTGGATAGCCAATGCTGCTGTTTCCATTCCTACTTGACCTTTTGAAGTCCCACGACAATCAAGGCTAGGGGTGGAAAATCTAGAGGCACAGACACAGAAGGGAATAAAGAAGCTTTCAACAGAGACCTGACTATAGAAACCTTGAATCAGAAGAGATCCCAGGGGGCTGGTTCTAGAAGGCAGGGTCTGCTGGGGACGCTCTAGTGTCACCTCTGAGCTAGGTGACAGAGAATGTTGAGTGGGTAGAAGGTTATGTGCATCTGCTGGGGGAGGCAGTGGGCAGATGAAGAAATCTAGTCACCTAGAATGATCCCCAGAGAGTCCTTCCAGTTCCTGTGGGCGATTGAGTTCTGCTTTCTGAGCTGACTGGAGAGCTGGAGAAGATACTCAGAAGTGGGACTGACAGTTGCTGAACCCAGGGCTTTTTGTGCCCATGTATAGGCAGAGCGCCCCCTACAGGTTTGCAGTAAAAAGGGCTACTAAGATGAAAGGAAGCGGAACACTAGAGAATTTGAACATAGTGAAATAAGCAGGTATATTCTTGGAAGCAGAAATGCTGCTGGAATTCTAGTAGGCCCGGGAATAATACAGCGTTCGGTGAATGCCCACTGCTGGTGTACGTGGGAGGGGCACAGTGGACTCCGTATTTGGAAGATACTTTCCAGTTGCAAATAGTGGAAGTGAGTGGGCTGCTTTTTCTTATACTATGAGGTATGTGACTGTTCTCAAAATGATGATGGCATTGGGGGCGGGCATGGCTCATCAGATCATCTTGGTTTTGACCATCTTGATGTCATGTGAGAATGTCAAGCTTCTCAGATGATAGAGATTAGTAACAAAGCCAAGCCAACACCTGAGAAGATTTTAGACAACTGGTGGGAAAGACTTGAGGATTCTCTGGAAGGTGACAGCTAGTAGGCCACTGTGACAATTAATAGCCACTCTTGATAGAATTAATCTCTCTTCAAGCTCGACATTTTGAAGGGTCTGCTATTAATTCTCTCTTTAAGAATAAGGACAGACGTCTCTCTTTTCCTCCAAATATGAACCTAAACCATCAGAATCTTCTTGCAGCCAGAGCAGAAACACTGCCCGGCAGGTACAGCGTCTGCTGGTGCTGTGGGCTTTCCTCTCTCTCCGTGTGGCGTCTGCTGACCTCATGGCTCAGAGCCCTGGGGTGGGGGTCGGGTGGGAGTCCCTGTTATGATTTGGGAGCTAGTCATTTTTAATGTTAGGAAAAAAGGAACTTAAGAAAACAGTCACGAGAAATCAGAATTCAGGAACTCCTAACACCACCCTTGTTGGGAGGGGCTTTTTCAAGCCTCTGCGGCTCTGCTTTTGGCCCTTGTGGAATCTGCAGGAGGAGCATGCGTGTTTAAAAAGGATATACGCCTTCTGCCTTCCATTTGTCTTCTGAACCTGAAGCCCTAAATTTAGCAAAAAGCTTGAGAGTGCTTTCTGGAAGAGGCAGACTCCAAGATCTGAATCAGAGATGGGAACACATTTAACCACCCTTGGCTGGGCCCATTCTCTGTAAGCGCAGTTCTGGGGCTAACAGGAAAAAGAGGACCCGCACCAGGAATTAGGAGACTTCGCATTTGGCGCCTGGACCCTCTGAGAACTGTCTGACACTTGTCTTCGCCCTTGATCATGGAAGACCATTTAATGTTGAGGGCACTGAATACTCAGGCTCAGATTCTGTTTCTGGGACACCAAGGAGAGAGAGCATAATGACTGATGCTTAGTAAGGTTTAGTAAATGTAGTTTAACTTAAAATGAGTATCGCGTGCAATTTAAAAACATGTAAAATTAAAAACATTTAAAGCATCCAGGAAAGTTAGGTCTTGAAAAAGTTTTTGAAAGGTATGTAGGAAATGTGTTTTCTGAGTTTGTGTATTTTTTTATCAAGTATCTCCTGCTTCAGTTTCTCTAGGAAACACTTCTTGATCATCCCTACTTGCCTTACACCTAGCTTATTTTTATGTAGAGTTGGCTGTATTTATTTGTTGAAGTAAACATTTTATATAGGTATCTGTTTGAATGTTTTAGTCGTTCATGTTTATAATTATTTGTATTCTATCGATCCCGATCTACTCTAAGCTCCGTGACGCTGAGATTTGCTTTCTCTTTCATTTGTGACTTTCAAAAGACTGGACATTCGTATATGACTCGCTGCCTGACTGAACTGTCAAGGCTTCTTTATTAGAGAAGTTTGGAAACAAACTTACCTTCACATCAATGCCTAAACATTGTGAAGAAACCTTCCATTGTGTCTTCCTTGCTCTTTATAAGAATTGTCCTCCTCTTTGTTCTGTCCCAAGATAAAGCCACCAACCCTTCCAACCGCCAGGAGGACTGGGAATACATAATCGGCTTCTGTGATCAGATCAACAAAGAGCTTGAAGGGTAAGTCTCACACCTGTTAGGGGGCAGGTGAGATAGTTGAATGGAAAAGTCAAAAACAGGCCAAGGAGGGCTAGCCACGTGGCCTCAGGGTCAGTGTCTGAAAGTGTGGTCTGCTTGTCTCCCAGGCCACAGATAGCTGTCCGATTGCTGGCCCATAAGATCCAGTCTCCGCAGGAATGGGAGGCAGTCCAGGCCCTGACGGTAGGTTTCTCATTATGACGGGGAATCTTCACGAGCCCAGGCATTTTATCATGTGCCCACTGGGTTCTCTGAGGTTTTCGGGGTTCATGCCCTAAGCCAGCTGATATTCCTTGATACAGACTAGCTATATCTAGAATGTTCATTCAGCCATTTTACAAATGTGTGTGCCTTTGTGCCAGGCACTGAGGCTTCAGAGATGACTACAGTGCAGTCCCTGCTGTCATGGCCACATGGTATAGTGGGAGGAGTGGAGTGGCTAAGGGAGGGAGCCAGAGGCAGGACCCTGAGCCCAGGGCAGGGCTCAGAGAAGGCTTCTCGAAGAGATGCTGACAGAGCTGTCCTGCCAGTTAAGAGTTGGCTAACAGAAGAAAAGCGAGGTGAGTACAGTTCGTTCCGTAGATAAAAACAGTGCTGGTTACTAATGAGGACATCACACCAACGGACAGATCTTGGTGTTTATTTGGACTAAGACGGTTCAGGAAGCGGAGCCGTGCACAGCACTTGGGCACCTCCAGGCTCACCCCTAAACCAGAGGATTCCCAGGGTTCTCCCTGGGAATGAGGAAATGGTCATGGAAAGGTACTTAAATGGCCCACGTGCACGCCTCTGTCGTGCTCACCTTAGGGCGAAGGCTTTGAAACGGTGGTGCTCAACTGGGGGTGGTTTTGCACCCCCAGGGGACATTTGGCACTACCTGGAGACACTTTTGGTTGTCACACGTCAGGGGGCACTGATGGCATCTAGTGGGTAGAGGCCAGGGATGTTGCTAAGAATCCTGTAAGGTACAAGATAAGCTTCCACAAGAAGGAATGCCTGGTCAAAATGTCTCAGTGGCAGAGTTGAAAAACCTTGCTTTGCAAAGATGAAGCCAAGAAAAGGAGCACGGGGGTGGAACACTCCTTGGCATAAGCTGCAGGCACAAGGAAGCCTAAGGTAGTATTATGTGCTCTAGAAAAAAATAGATGGAAGCAGGGGGAAGGAAAATGTCGTGCCACCTAAAATGAAGGAAAAATTTAAACGTTATCTTCCATCTCCCAAAATGTCAACTAGCTATGGACAGAAGCGTGAACCTTGAGTCAGAGAAACTTTCTGTGGGCCTCGCTTTCCTCATCCGTGAAATCTGAGGGCAGAACCGTGCAGGAAGGCATCTGGGTTTGTCTTGCTGTCCGCGCTCCTTCAGTCCCCGCTGAGCTTCCCCAGAAGAGTTGTGTGATTTGAGGGACGCGGGATGTCAGGGATCCTGTTGCCCCGACGCTTCTCAGCTGTGCCCACAGCTCTTATCAGTTCCTTCCTTAGGTGAATATTTATTTAGCGCTGTCTACATGCAGGGGCCTGGCTCAGTGCGTGTCTCACCCAGACGCCTGCCCGCTGAGTGTCCCTCCTTTGTGGCTACAGGTGCTGGAGGCGTGTATGAAGAATTGTGGGCGGAGGTTTCATAACGAAGTGGGAAAGTTCCGGTTTTTGAATGAGTTAATCAAAGTCGTCTCTCCAAAGGTCAGTCAGTGGCAGTTTCCTCATTTCTAGGAACTTCTTTTGTGTTTCTCCCTCTCCCATTTTACTGGCTTTCACTACACAGCCAGCATCTCCATGGATCTGAGATTCTCTGTGTCCTTTCCGTAGAGAGCTAGGTCCTGAGGGTAGCAGGATGACCATACAGGCCACGGGGACAGGCAGCCCCAGCCTAAATGTGACAAGTGATGTGGCAGCAGCTGTGTGCGTATCCGGTGGGGAGGGCCTGTGTATCGCAGGCCTTTGGGCTCCTGGTGACAGCATTTTTCTTTGGCTGATCTTATGGATACAAGGACCTGGCCTTCCTCGTTACTTGGCCGCTCAGGTTCTGTTGCTCGCTGACGTTCCCTAAACTCTGGGCATGCACTCAAAGCAGAGGAAACAGTTTTTCGTGCTAAAGACGTTCTCATTAACTCCTTTGAGATGAAAAGTAGTTTCTGGCAGATTGTGCATGGAAATTCAGTGACGAGCTCCCAGCCCCCTGCCTGACCACAGACTGTGTCCCATATGGATACAGCTCTACCTCAGGTCGTTTCCTCGTCCCCCTCCTGTGCTGTCTCACTGACCTGACCTGATCCCTGCTGGTTTCCCATAGGGTTGAAGACTGTAACTTATTAGCAACCATTCACTACTGTGAGAGCGCCTTCCTGCTGTGTCTGCCTCCAGACTGCAGTTTCGAGGCTTTCCGTTTTCCTTTTGCCTCTTAGTACCTTGGGGACAGGGTGTCTGAGAAAGTGAAGACCAAGATTATTGAGCTGCTTTATAGCTGGACGTTGGCCCTGCCAGAAGAATCAAAGATCAAGGATGCCTACCACATGTTGAAGAGACAGGGTATGTGCGTCCCCTCCCTTAGCCTCCACACGGCCCCAGAGGCCAGCCAGGGCCAGGAAGGATGAAGGCGTGTCTGCCATCCGCAGGCTTTGTCCCTTCCTCCCTCCGGAAGACAAGTGGGAGGGCTTGGCTGGGGTTTGCTGGGACAAGGGTTGCGTAGCTGCTCTGTCTCTGCCCCGACTTTGCAGGCCCTGATCACAGGGATGTGCCCCTTGCTGTGTGAGGGAGGGCAGCAAGGTTACCTCTGCCTGAGCAAACACTCTGTCTTGTGTCACCTTTCAGGCATAGTGCAGTCTGACCCACTGATCCCTATGGACAGGACACTGATCCCCTCTCCTCCACCTCGTCCCAAAAACCCTGTTTTTGACGATGAGGAGAAGTCCAAGGTACAGTGCACCCCAGCCTGCAGAGTCCTCAGACGAGGTCTCGCTCGGTGCTGCGGGGAACTCCACTTCCTCTGGAGTCTCCCCAGGTGGGGCGCTGCCTTTCCCTTCACCTTCGATACCCTCTTCTTCCAGCTTTTAGCCAAGTTGTTGAAAAGCAAAAACCCTGATGACCTGCAAGAGGCCAACAAGCTCATCAAGTCCATGGTGAAGGAAGTGAGTGGGCCCTGGGCCTTGAGGAATGGGGTGCAGGAGCCCAAGAAAGAGCAGGAGTCCCTTCCCTTGGCGTTAGGCCTGCTGTTTGCCCCCACCACCAGCCCTCACCTGAAGAGGTCGGAGAATGGAATAAAGGAACAGAGTAGATGGGGCCAAGTTTTGGGGTGGTGGAGGGCTGGTACCTTAAAAGAAAAACTATGTTGGGTCCAAGGTGGTGGTTCTCAAGAACCAGATATTGAGAGGAGCTTCAGCGGGGCTGGCCTCTGCTCGTGTCCTGTGGTAAGGTGTGATCCTTCTGGGGGCCAGTGAGACGAGTCTGGTTGAGCTTCCTCCTTGATCCTTTTACATAGGACGAGGCGCGGATCCAAAAGGTGACCAAGCGTCTGCACACTTTAGAAGAGGTTAATAACAACGTGAAGCTGCTCAGTGAGATGCTGCTTCATTACAGCAAAGAGGAGTCTTCAGAGGCAGATAAAGAGCTCATGAAGGTAGGCCCCCCTCTAGCTGGGCTCCAGGAAAGGGAGCCAGCCTTTGCTGAGTACCTAAGACACTGCTTATGCACCTGATGGTCCCCCGTTAATCAGCACAGCAGCCAGGTCGGGGCGTTGGTACCCCTATTTCACACAAGCCGTGACCTACTATTTACCCAGGGCAGAATAACTGTACACATGAATCTCTGTGACTCTGTAGACCTGATCTTGGCCTTGCCTTCTGCAGAGGCCCTCCTGTACTCCTAATGCAGCACCTCAGTCACATGGATACTCTGAATTCTGAGCATGTGCCAGCAGGGAGGCAGGAAGGGACGTATTTCCCCGTGTCGGTCCTGGCGACTTCTCCATCTAGGCAGATATCTTGAGAGATAGTGTGGTGGAGGCTGGCAGCAGAGGGCGTGTGCCCTGAGCCCAGCTTTGCCAGTAACTGACCATGGTATTAGAGGAGCTTGTGATTTTCGGGGTGTGAATGCTGAATCCGGTGACCTCCAATGGCCTTTGTAGCTGATTTTTATGTCTGGTCTCCTCCAGGAGCTGTTTGATCGGTGTGAGAACAAGAGGCGGACATTATTCAAACTAGCCAGCGAGACAGAGGACAATGACAATAGTTTAGGTGAGTAAAAAGTATACTAGTTGACAAGGATCACCTAGGAATTTGGATTTGTGTATGGTGGGTGAGTTGTCATGGCCAAGAATTAGAAGTCTCTCTTTCTGTTCTAGGGGACATCCTACAGGCCAGTGACAATCTCTCCCGGGTCATCAACTCATATAAAACAGTCGTTGAAGGGCAGGTCATCAATGGTGAGGTGGCCACCTCAACCATGCCCGACTCTGAGGGTAAAATGTTTCGGTCTCCCATTCTGGACCCCTCCAGACCAGCGCGTCAGCCCATAGGGCCTGAGGGGATTCTAAGTCATTCCAAAGGTTCTCCATTCCCGAGGCTGGGGGACCTGGACAGGGTCTTCACCTGCCTTCACTTTTCTGTGTGCACCTGGCATGAGTACCCATAGATTAGGTCAGAGGCTGTGCTCAGGGTTTTGCCTTCTGCTGTGCAGCCACTTCGGTGGCCCGTAATTATTCCCGTCTCCTTCCATTTGCTCATCCAGGAAACCAGCACTCCGATAACCAAGGCACTCTCATTGACCTGGCGGAGTTGGATGCACCAAGCAGCTCGTCCCCAGTGTTGGCCCAAGCACCCGCGGCCCCCTCCTCCGGCATCCCTATCCTCCCTCCACCCCCTCAGACCTCAGGACCTGGGCGCAGCCGCTCGTCCAGCCAGGCCGAGGCCTCCCCAGGGCCCAACACTAGCAATGCCCTCTGCTTGCTGGATGAGGAGCTGCTCTGCCTGGGTGCGTCTGGGAGGCTGTAAGGGCTCCTAACAGAGCTGGTAGGAGATGGCTGTAGGCTTGGGTGGTGGCCCGAGGGGGTGCCCCATGTGCCTAGCAAGGATAGGAGGGAAACTTCAATT